TGTTTTCTTTTGATGTATAAGTTGGTCGGGTTTTTTCATCTAAAGAAAAAGTTACATTAATTTCTTGACAACCTAATACTATGAAAAAGTTTACTTTCCTTTTAATTATTTAGCTTCCAAAATAACTATTCCAATGTAACCTTCTATTACTTGCATGAAAATGGATGTGTTACTTAATAGCTCATTTGTTTCCTCAAAGTTGAAATAACGGCTATTTTTATGTACATTGCCCTCCTTTTCTCTTTAATAAAAATTGTTAAAAAGTATATTAGTTGTGTTATATGTAAATTTTTAGTATATATTCATGTACGTTTAAATACAAAAAATGTTTGCATAATTTTAACAGAGTAACTGTAATGCTAAAATGCAGAAGAAATTTAGTTAAGCCTTGTTTCTGTCATATGGTTATTTTTTTGTTGAGTATTGGCATGTGCTAAGGTAAATAGTAATTCTGTTAGCTGTGTAATTTATTGTCTTATAGTGACTCTCATGCTAGCGTGGGAGAGAACACTGCAGCTTCAAGTGAGACGAGCATTCGTTTACAGAACCTAAACAGCTTGTTAAGTAATATTAAAGTTTTCTATGAGGTAAATAATATTTAGTATAGTAGGAAATGATGATTATAAAATTCTTTGTTATAAATACTAAATTGTATTGTTTATAGAGCTGGATGATTAGTAGAATTTGCTAATTGATTAATCATCAGGGTCATTAATTGATGACATTCAACTAATTGATTATTATCACCTGAGATTAATTTTCTTTTTTTTGAAAGACGTTTCATTTAACGTGATAGAAATGTTCAGGTACAACAATTTAAGATTAAACTCCTTTTCTTTAATCCTTACGTATTGTACATGAAAATATATCATATATGCAATGTGGTATGTATACACCTCTAACAAGCTGAAAATATGATTAATATTGTTTCATGGGTTTCTCCTTACAAATTTTCATAAAATTAATCTACTGAAACTAAATAAACTAACTCTTGGTTAGAAATAATTCTCCTTAGGTTTCATGTTATATAAATAAATAAAAAAATTTATTACGGTATGTGATAAGTATTTTATAACTTAATGAAAATTTACTCTAATTATAAGTTTTTGTGTGAAATATCAAAAACATGATAATAAGAAAAATCTTTAATTTATAACATTTCCGATTTTTTTTTCTAATTCCACCATAGGCATGGAAAAACTTGACAAATAATTAACAACTTTATAAATATAAAAAACATCATAAACTTTATGGATGGAAGTTTAGAAAGAATACATTAAAATGATTAATACATTTACATGTTTACAGTACAAGCTAGAAGAAACTGTATACACACACTTGTTCTAAAAAACCAATAAGTCAAGCAACTTAAAGCTTACTGTACTTGGCAGTGTTTAAGCAGTACATGGCTATAGCCAGACCTTTTTATTTCCTTTTCAGTGCTTCCTGTTTAGATGGGGCTAGTTGTAATTATACAGGAGTTTTGTTGATGTAAATAGGTTAACAACTTTATGATTTACATATTGTTACTGATAATAACTCATGTATAGTAACTTCTGACAAACACAATTAAATGGGCAAATTATTCAGTGTTCATTGACCCAAACGAAGTATATATTGTTACTTCTCTAGTCGTTTGTTAATTTCCTGGTATAAATTCTTCCCAAAGAACTTCAGCAATACAAGTCCTTTCTTAAATAAAACTAGTTTATTCTTTCTCAATACAACTTTACAATACACTTAATTTCCACAGTCACTCGAGCTTTCATGATCCTTCTAGAAACTCATCACGTGTTACCAGCGTCACTTGTCGTAACAATATGAACAACTGTGACTAGTTATGGAACTAATGGCCACAAGGCCACACCATCATATTTGTGAGTTGTGTACAAGCAGAATGCATACATACTGTTCTGCCAACAGAAGTAGCACTAGCTATTGTGTCCTGTGTGAGTATAGTTGGTATGTATGTATCTGAAGCTGAACAAGTTTGGGTTATGACAGAACTGTTAAGGCTCTCTACTGTTTTCCTAATTTTGAACTGCTGACCAGAGGAAAGTCAAACTGGTGACAGTGCTCACTACCAGTTCTTGGGCTACTATTTACCAACAAATAGGATTGACCCTCACATCATAACCCCCTCCACCATCCTCTGGCATTAAGACTGAGTGATTTAATCAATATAATTGATTACCTATGAATAGATATTACATCAATTAATGTATATAAAGTAATCAATTAATCAAAATTATGATTAAATCAATTGTTGTGAAAATAGTCAACTAATCAAAATTAGTATTTCCAGTTATTACTGTTTTCAAGTATATTCCAACAATCAGTTAATCAAAAATTCTGATCATATTGATTCTTATGAAATTAATCAATCAAGTAAAATTAGGGTTTTCAGTTATACCAATAATCAATTGATCAAAATTATGATTAAATTGATTGTCACAAAAATAACCAACCAATCGAAATTAGGATTTCCTGTTATTACTGTTTTCAAGTATATTCCAACAATCAGTTAATCAAAAATTCTGATTATATTGATTCTTATGAAATTAATCAATCAATTAAAATTAGGGTTTTCAGTTATACCAATAATCAATTGATCAAAAATTATGATTAAATTGATTGTCACAAAAATAACCAACTAATCGAAATTAGGATTTCCTGTTTTTACTATTTTTGATTATTCCAACTATCAAAGTAATTGAAATATTGCTTTCACACTTGTTTGTTGTTAAAAAAATGGGCTATCTGTACTCTACCATTATAGCCATATAAGTTGTTTTTTTTAATTTAAGTTTGTTTAGCTTTGTTGATTTTTATTTTCTTTGGGAAGGGGGCTCATGAATTGAGGGTCTCAGATTTGAATCATATTACTACCAAATTTATCTTTGTTATGGCAAGCTACTAACATTATTTGGGTGCTCTCTCTAGTCTGCAATTCAAAATTAGGGATGGTGGCAAATAGTCTTACTAGTTTTGACACAACTCGGAGACAAATAAATAAATGTAATGACCTCATGCTGAAAGCATGAGCATGGTTGGTGACAATGGGAACCAAACCTGCAACCCTCAAATATTGAAGCAACAGATGAGCAATCAGTGATATCATACCAAAGCTTGACAAATTTTAATTAATTGGAAGTGATAATATTAAATCATAATGGCATTTTTTTATTTACTTGGGTAATTGGAAAAATAAAAAAGAATAATAATTGGAAACGATAATTTTGATTAGTTTATTATTTTCATGACATTAATTGATTTAATCCTAATTTCACATGTCACTGTGATGTAATCAATGCTCATAGGTAATTGATATCAAGTTAATCATCCAGCTGCAATTATTTATCATTTTGTGCTTATACTGTAGATCTCAAATGTCATCATTTGTATTTTTTTATTTCAATTGATGATTTTTTGTATAAAAACTTGTGAACTGAAATAGTGTTAGATTTATTTTTATTGTGTTTTTTTTTTACATAAAATTTATACTAAACTACCTTAGTGAGTTAATGTTGTGGAAGCCATCATCACTGCAGTTATTATTAAAGTGAGCACATATGAAAGTTTAATGGCCTAACGTATTTGATATACTTAACTAAGGTGATTAAAAATAAAGATGTTTAGTTGTTCATTTGTTGTTGATTTCGCTTATTTATGTATAGTTTAAACTGATAACAATGGTATAACATAAAAAGGTTGATAAGATAAAAATGGTGAAAGAAATGCATTGCAGGTCTCATAATACGACTTAAATACTTACTGAAATTAACTATTTATGTTAAGATATTTAAGTGTTAAGTTACAAAATTATTTTTTTAAGCTGAAATATATATATATATATATATACACACACAAGATCAGTGAGTTGCATAACTATTGTAGCATTTTTTCCAAGAAAAAGATAGCAATACAATTATATTTCCAGGAAGTGCTAGGGCAGGTAGTTCTTTTGCCACTTCCAGACATTCTTGCTATAGCCAGGTGTACCAGTGAAGGTAAGTTTTAGCTTTAGGTGTTTATGTAAAACATTGTAAAGTTTAGCACAAGCTGTTGAACTGCAAGATTTTTTTGCTTCCAAATTTTGCTGTTTAAAAAAGAAAAAGAGATTAGTCTTTACTAAACAGACAATATAGCCTTTATTATAATGAAACTTTCTTAGTTGTTGTTGATTAACTCTATAAACCTGTAATTTTTTGCTCGTTCTGCCGTTGAACTTAAATTTGTTTCAAAACAAATGACAATGCTTCACGGAACTTCAGGTCTATTTATGATAACATGGTTTGAATTAGAATTGGAATTTTCGGCTGTACGCTGGTAGCATCTGTTTGGGTTTAAGGAGTTAAAATACATTTTTCTTGTGCAGAAATTAAATTTAGTACTGTGTTCATTATGTTAAATATAAATATAAGTGGTAGGTGTTTATGAATGGTAGGCTAACTAGATGATTACTTGAAGAGATCTCATGTTTTCATATCAGAGCATTGTAGTATTCATATATTGATATATTATAATAAAAGATAAACATATTAAGCTAACAAAAGTATTTATAATTATAACTTAAAACGCTAAAATAGTTTAGCAAAAAGTGTAGATAACTCATGTCTTATTAGAACTAGCATAAAATACTGATGGTCCACTGAGAGATACAAAAGCCAACTCATGATTCACAGAGGTTCCAGTGTACTGATCAAGCTTCTTTATTATCCCCAGTTACTTCTATAGCTACCCCATGGGGTTTCATACCCAAAAACGAACCCCATTAGGACACCCACTTTTGATATCTGAGCACATGTTTTATCCAACTAGTTTGTAAGTAGGGGTATAAGTACATTTTCAAACATGGTGCCCCCAGGATTTAGAAGTGGGGCTAGGAACACACAAGTTCATGCCATATTTAAATTCAGTGACCCTGAACACCTATTCCTTGACACCCATCATGCCTGGATGACCTTCTGGTGAGTTTTAGCCCCACTTGGTAGTTGGGTTATGTCATATAGATAGGGATACCCCTGGGGCCAACCCAAGTCTGCCTGCTAATGTTTCTCCCAGATACAAAAGTGGGAGAAGTTTGTGGACAAATGAAAAAATGTTTACAAACACACAACATTAATTAATATATGACTACCATAAAATATCTGTGTTCTTCCATGGATTACCCCCTCTCATGATTTGCAGAGGCTCCAGTGTATTTATCAAGCTCCTTCATTATCCCCAATTACTTCTAAAGCTATCCCAAGGAAAGTCCATACCCAAAAACAAATTCTGTTAGGACATCTGCTTGTGGTACCTGAGCACCTGTGCCATGTTTGGTCCTGCTAGCTTCTTAGTAGGATTATGAACACAGTTTCAAGCATGGTGCCCCAGGGATTCTGAAGGATGGCCAGAAACACAAACCTGATGCTAGATTCAGGCTCAGTGACCCTGAAAACCTACTCTTAGAGCCCCCCCCCCCAAATCATGCCCAGTTGACCTTCCAGATGCATTTTAGCCCCTATTGATAGGGGGGGTTATACCATATATATTTACACTGGGATTATATAACTTACTTCAACAGGAGACAAAATGCATGCAGATATACAGAAAGAAAAGTGTTTTTTCTTGTATGTTGTAAGTTAGGTAGTTATCCTGGACTCCCATCATGCATGAAAATGTGCTTATCTCACTAGATGCCTTTCAATTGAGTTATTATAACTAAATATTTCTTGTTATAACACATTGAATTTTGTCAGTATACATTGTGTGCTGTCTTGTTTTTGGTCTCCTTATAAAAGCTGTTGGAATTTTTGTGTGTTAAATACTGTTTGGTGAACAAGAGATTACTTGATGGGTATCTCCCACATGGTCCGGAAGACATTTTAAATACAGTTTGTCAAACATATTCTGTTGAAATTTTAAAAAAGAATATATTGTTTTAGTGTCACTGACTTTTTTTCTCCTTTTACAGAGTCAAGTGTCAAAGCAATGAATAGACTTCTTCTATTGGTTTTGGGCTGTGCTGTTCAGTGTGAAAGGAAAGAACATTTTATTGAAATAATTAAAACATTGGATATTGATGCTCAGCATCAAATGGTTGAATATATAAAGCAAGTAGGTTTTATAGTAAATTGTGTGTTAAGATTTCAATTAAACTAATGCCTGAAAATAACTTTTACATTTATTGAAAAAAAAAATCAAAAACTATCTCTCTCTCTCTAGGAATTAATATAATCAGTCTTTATAGTTTTCTAAACTTTATGACATAGTATTGGATGTTGTAGTCACATAAAGAAAAGACATTTATTTATTTTTGTCATGAAAATGTACAAAATGTTTGGGATGTTATACACAGTTTTGAATATTTAGACATAAATGTTGATGGAATACCTTCATCACATTTTTAACAGTTAGCAAAAGAGTTGCATGTACTTGTATATTTTTCAACTATATTTCAATGATCATAAATATTTGTTACATTTTTGTTACTGTTAACTTGATTCAGTAAGCAGTAATTGAAGGAATAAATTAAAATGTCACTTTAATTGTAGTAATAGTGATTAGTGAATTGTAAGGATAAAGTATCTATTTAAAAAAAAGGTATTTCTGTTTATATAACATCAAAAGATAAAATAAATGGTTCATAATTAATTTTAATGGAGGATATGCCATGGTAGGATTGATGCCAAAATATGTCTGCTTTCACTAAATAAAAGTAAATCCAAAAATTTTGAAACTATGATCTTCAGCCATTCCTTAAATGGCAGATTGTCTGTTAAAAATGTGCAATGGAAAAACCTTGAAAATGAGATAAATAGGTATCCTAATTACCATACAAAACAAAACATTCCATACTTTGGTGCCATGGATGCATCACAAGAATGATAATCAAATCCCACTATTCGATTAGAGTAGCCTATAAGTTGTTAACTAGTTATCTTTCCTCTAGTCTATCACCTCAAAATTAGGGACAACAAGCACAGATAGCCCTTGAGTAACGTTGCATGAAATTCACCCAAATAAATAGTTACCACGAATTATAGGGGATATTAACAGTCTTTTTCTATATATTAAATGCCATCAAGGTTAAATTTTCACACATTTTTGTGATATATTATGTCGAAGGATCTACTTTTCTGCTATTGTGATATTGCTGTGTGCTAATTCTTAATCATTCATTTTTTATATGTTTAAAATGATAATGTTGAAATTTATAATTGGTCTTTAGAGATATACCTTTCTTTGTGTCATTTGCTTATGTTCTTGTCTTTGCATGCATACCTTACATTTTTATTGGTTTCTGTAACATTAAGAAATATTTAATTAACCTTAATAAATGTAATTAAATAAGTTTTAAACTCTGTTTCATTTAACAAATCAGGAATATTTTCTGATGAAATGAAACTTTATATTGGGGCAATGCAAGTGTGACATAAAGTAAAGCCAGTTTGTTTTTAATTTTGATCTAATAAAATTCAAAAAATGTTAGTAATTGAAAGAAAAAAAGATAAATATGTAAATTGTATGTTCCAGTTGTTAAAATCTTGGTTACGATTCTGCTATAATGCATATAAAAGTTAAAGTTTTTGCTCACTTATAGTGTATGAGTGGTTTTCATGAAGAAGTATGAACAACATTACAAGTAAATTGGTTGAAAGGGATAAAATTCTTATATATTTTTTTCTAATAACAATGTATTCTACTGTGATCAGGCTGAGATAAATGTGTAGGCAGTTTCTAAAAAACAATTAACTAGTTATACAACTTTATTATGTGTAATTACTTGTTGCTATAACTGTAGAAATAAGTTTAATTGCACTTTTTCTGTTGAGAAATATGTGATCCTGGACAATGTAGTACTTTGACAGTTAATGCTACACAATGATATATGGTTTTTCTAAAAGAATAGAGCAATTTACAGTAGTCTTGCCACACTTTATATTATTCTTATAAGTAGCAGTATATTAATGTTTTAGTTAGAATGTTAGCACTTAACTGGTTCAGTATATTATAAAAGTGCTGTTTAATATTGCTTACTATGTTTCCTAGAGCATAAAATGCAGTTAACTTGACAGGAGTGATACAGATAAAAACATTTTGATTTATCATATATCAGTTGTGATGGAAAAATATATTACCCATAATCATTGTAACAGTGTTTATGAGCTTATACTAATAGGAACAAGTATTTATTGTATCATTCCATACAATTGTTTAATATATAGACCTTCTAAATCCTGATTTGTACAACTAAATATTTTTCTGTACCAACTGAAACATATCATATTCTGTTGATCTCAGGCTTCTAATACATGTACCTATGCATATATAAGTAGCGTATTTTTTATACATGTAATTGTATATTAGTTTGATGAATTTATAATGGAGAGATATTGAACTGTAGAAGTTATTACATTATTTCTATTTAAAGGTTACAGACAATCCAGAGGCAATCTGGTCAACTGGATGGAATCTAACAAAGGATTCTACTCATGAAGAACAGCTGTATCTATTACTGGAACAGCATGTACAGAAATTGGCCAAAGAGAGAGATGAATTATCTCAAGTAATTAGAAAAATGTTTAACTAAAGCGAGTATTTGTGAATATAACTTATTTAATAAATAAATTACTACTTAATTAAAAAACATTGATTGTACTTAATCCTTTCCAGTATTAGATTTCACTGATATCCTCTGCTATTTTTTTTCATAGTAAAAACACTTAACCAAATTGTGTGAAAAAATTCATATAATTAGATGTAGTATTTGCATAATTCTTTAGGCTGTGAAAGTTCCAAAATTTTACTATTGTACACAAAAAAAATCATTCTGTCTTTCTTTTTTTTTATATTCAGTTGGTTCTTTTGATACTTTATTTTGCTGATTGAAGCAGTTAATTACTGCTGTAAGTCATATGAATATTTTTATAACTGGTAAGTATTTATCAGTGCACAATGACCTCACTTTTCAAAATTTCATTATAGTTACCATTGTCAGATGTCAGTTATGTTTAGCTGTAATGTGTTGTGGTCTACCACAGGAGTGTTGCCTTCCATTTATTTGCATACCCCATGGTCTTTCTTTGAATGCTTTCTAAAGAGAATCGACTTCTCACTGGACCCTCCACCAACTCATTGTGCGATTCTGGCTATTTGTGAGAGGAGGTAAGATATCATATCAGAAGTATACTTTTGACTACACTGAAAATGTATCTCTGATAGATACTTACCTCTATTCACATTTCCCATCAGACCTCTCCACTTCTGGTGTAGGTTTTGTATGTACTGCCCAATCTCAAAGTGATTACGGCAACAGAAGAGAGAGGGCGCTAGTTGCAATAGGAGTCATGTTGTATTCCTATTGGTGGAGGGTTGCTGCATGATCATTTGCATGATAGCATTGCAGATGTCTCGTGAAAAAGTTTAAGTTCATAGTGAAACAGGAATTACCAGCTAATAATAAATGAACATTAGATGACTGTAATATGTAGAATACTCAATGCTTTGTACACTATACTAACTCCTATATTTTGTATGAAGTGAAGGAGTAAAAATAAAAAAATACACATAATAGATTTTATTACACACGTTCATAGAATATGCTAAACTTCAGTCAGGGGAAAAATGCCATAAAAC